TTCTGACAAGAAGAGGTCCAATTCTGATAGCATTTGGTCTGCATCCAGACTAAGTTTATTTATTTATTTATAACAGTGTCCTATCGGATTAATATTTGTCTTGATGCCAAAAAAGGGCCCAACAAATTTTACTTTCACAAGTGGAGCAGTACAGCTATCGCCAGTGTTCCACTTGATTTATGCATATAAATTGCTTTATTATAATTCATGCAGGGAGTTTTACAGATTATATGGACACTGCAATGAAAGTACCAGTAGGACAGGAAAAGAAAAAGGAGAAAAGATGAAAGAAAGAGGAGCTAAAAGGGAGATAACGATAAAACATCCTCAGTCTGCTTCATCACCTGCAAAGAGATGTAAAAAGAACAGCACAACCAGCAGATATAGTATAAGAGATACAATAAGGTAACACTTTGATACTATCGCTGAAGTATAAGTAGTATTATTTACTCTGTGGCTGAAGATCAGAATATGGGCTTTCTGTATGGAAGTGAATCTCTAAGTACCTGGAGCCAAGACTCTGTAAGTTTAGGGATTTAAATGATTAAACAAGCAGCGGCCATGTTTAGAGCACGGATCGGGGGTCGAAGTGGAATCACATTTAAAGGAGTATTTCAGGAGGTAACTGCAACGACCGACACTCAGTGAAACCAAAGAATGAAAGCCAGCAGACTGAGAGAATGCTTCACTTAGGCACCAGAGACCTCTACCAGGACCTGATGGAGTTTGACAGGCGTCCCAGTCAGACCAAAGTGCTTTTATTAAGCTGCTGCTTTACATATGGGTGCACAGATATGGGTGTCAAATTCACTCAAGATGGAGACCATAAAGTGCGTCTAAAACTCCAACAATCTCAACAGGGAACGTTGAATATGCAAGATGGGTTTCTGAAATCCTATTTTAGATCCACAACTGATTGTTATCACAGATCCTTCCCCCCAGCAGCTGTTAGAGTTTAGAAACATCGCTGCTCCCAATAAATTCAGGAAGCGTTTACATCCCTGCTTGTTTTTTTGTTTGTTTTTGTTTGAGCGCTCCTTTTGCACATTTTAAATAGTTTCTGTAATGAGTATTATAAAAGTATTATAAATTATACTTTTGTTGTGTTTTATATTAGCTGACTGTTATGCAAAACCAACATTTTGCTGTAGCCCAGTTACAGGTTTATCCTCAGGCTGCTGATAGCAGCAGATGTATTAGCAATCAATACCATTTATACCTTTGAATGTATTCATTGCATAACGGCACAACAAAGATTCAACTTGATTAATGTTACCTGGGGGTTATGTTGACATTTTAAGTTACCTTTAAACAGAGATATAAACTATTTTAATCTGACATCCTTTGCATTTCAGAAGAAAAACACAGATTTACTTTAGAAGCAAATATAAAAATAATGCAATGTATACATGGAAGCAATAGTTTAGATTAGTGATTGATAGAGAGACCATTTGATTGAGTTTCAGTATTTAGAGACTTTTGGTTGAGGTTATTATAATGCAATATCTTCATTCCTGAATATTTCAGCTCTTTACTTTGTAAAACCGTGTTTTGATTTACTTTTTCCCTCTTATTGTTACTAAAAGTTTCTTTTCTCTTGATTTGAGGTAAATTAGCCAATGGAATATGGTCACTAATGTTTAAAATAAGAAAAAATATCTCCATTATCTTATTGTGCTCAATATTTAATAATCTTACTTTAAGGTCAGTGATATTCGTTCCATCGATTGCAAATTGAAGGTCAGAAAGCTTTATTTTCAGTTCAGTTTTGGCAGTGTAAATCATTCACTGAACTTTAAAACCAAAACCATATTTTTTTTTTTCTTTAATAATATTCATGTTTTCCGGACTCAGATAACAGTAATGACCAGCCTTTTATTATTTAAGCGATAAGATTTATTCTATTTTTTACAAAATCAGATGAAAGACTTTACAAACATCAGCTTTAGTCCCTCTGAGGTGTGCCTAAGTCTGCACTCCTGTTTTACAAATACAACATTTAGTACAATTACTGGTTAACCCCACTTAAATAAAGAAAGTAAAATTAAGCTAAGCAATGCAAAGTAAAAAAAAAAAAAAGTCAAATTTGCACAGAGCTCGCTGTAAGGCATATGTCAGAATAAATAAACCATGCAGGTCTGGTTTGCATTCAAGCATTTTTCAAATAGGCAATAACTGGCTCACCTCAATAAGAGAATGCACACTGACCCAACTAAGCTTCAGACACACAGTGTGACCTAAAAAATACGTTTTGAGTTTGATCTAGACCGAAGTGACATCCAAACAGGAATGTTTACAACTGATTTCCTGGAAGATATTCCTGAGGCAGAGGAGGACTGGACAGCGTTGGAACCGAGTACATTTTGTTTTGTTCAGCCGCGTTCATTGCAGGTGTTTCATATAAACCTGGAAAAGATACACAGACAGGTGGTTTAGGAGAGAACATCATCAGAAGCTCTGAAAGGACTCTTGCTCCATGACGCTCCTACCCTCATCTGCTCTGTTGTTTTGTGAAGGAGAGAAGTCTTCCTCATCATCAGGCCCCAGATCCTCGATAAAAACCTGCTGGAAGGTCTCTCTGCTTTGTGACTCTGAGTAGAAAGTTTCCATCCGGGGAGGAGCAGGAGTTTCATCTGGAGCAGATTGTTGGGATGGACCTCGGATTGCAGGAGCATCAGGAACTTGGACGTCTTCAGGAGCTTGAACGTCATTGAGAACATCTTTAGGAGCTTGAAACTGGACTGGAACATCATTAGGAGCTTGAACTGGGATTGGGACTGCATAAGAAGCAGCACTTGAGGCCTGCAGTGGATCTGGAGCGGCATATGGAGCTTGAGCCGGGATGGAAGGAGCACTGGTGGCTTGCACCGGACCTGGAGCGGCATATGGAGCTTGTGCTGCGACCTGAGCAGGATAGGAAGCTCTCACTGGGACTGGAACTGAGTCCTGTACAGGAGCGGGAGCAGAATCTACATCTATCTTCCCAAAACCGGAGTTTTGAAGCAGTCCGAAAACCGGAACAGGAGCAGGTGCATCTACATCTGGAGCTTGCTGTGGCTCCACAGCCATTACGGTGGTCTGAGAGCTCAGTATTTGACCTGAGACGACCTCAGCAGACACAGGCACCACCAACACCGCAGGGTCCCCTGCCTCCTCCTGAACCACTGGAAACTGTGGGACGGGCTCAGTCTTCCGGGGCCTCCCTCTCCTCTTTGCTCCGCTCTTGTTTTCGGCCTTTGACCTTTTCCTCTGGCTCTCCACCCTGAAAGAGTTCAGCTAATTAAGGCGAGCAGCAGAGGACACCGACACAGGGCAGAGTGATATGTTTGCAAAGCTAATAGTACAAAGTCCTTGTCTGTGATCTGGAGCGTCAGTAGACCCACCAGAGCAACCTTTGGTTTCCCTGTTGCTGCATATTCAATATAAACGAGACAAGAGATAAGAAGTGAGAGCAGTGATAGTGTTAGAGCCACGCACTGCTATTCACAGAGAGTTTATGGGTCAGGCCAACACTTCTACTCTCCTCTTTTAGCTCAAACATTCAGCAGAAGTATTTAGATTTGCAGGATTTCCATGCGGCTCGAACACTGACAGGGTTTTTTGTCTTAAAAATAAATTTACCCAAAAACCCACTGGTTAGTTTCCTTCTCCTCTGCTTCAGCTTTTCTCTTCCTGAGAAGCTCTCTGTCTCGCAGTCGCCGGCGGATCCCTCCTGAAACAAACACAAATAAAAATTTTTTAGTCACGCAGCATAAACTCAAATATGCCCCAATCTGCAGCTGTTACACAATAGAAAGATTTTCAACATTTTTTAAATGTTAAGCTTTGAAATAAACCTCCAAAGACAGATCTCCAGCCTCCTAGAACTCATGCAAAAAAAGAAAATCATGGACACAAAATGAATTACCTTCCTCCTCATTCTGGATTTTTTCCTCAGCTCCTTGTATTTTCTCCTGCTGTGACGTCTCCTCCATTCTGGCTGCAGCTATGAATGAATTCAACTGTAAAGGCGCGCAAGCAAACAGCAAAGAGAGGAAGAAAAAAAAAACAACTTCTGTTGTCTATTCCCACCCCCTAGATGAATTATCTGGTTAAACATTACTCACAGAGCTGGGAGAGTGCTTGCAGCTTCAGCCTTATCATGTTTGTAAAGCCGGAGGAGTTGGCGCAGGGCTGTTAAAGCAGTCAGCAGGAGCGAGTTGTGTTTGGGGAGGATGATAGTGTATATACAGTAAAAAAAAGGAAAATGCATGCATGACACCTGTTGAATATTTCATACATCTGTTAAAAAGCTCAAGGTTTTGTTCTGTCCATAAAATACAGCTGATATGTTTCTATGATGAGGTTAACTGTGCAGTAAGTGTGTTTTAAACAAAGAGAGATCCCGCCTTCAAACTACAGCAGGGTTCATCCTCTTCTTATCTCTGACAGAACGCGCTCAGTTGGGAGTGTTCTCGATCTGCCCACCGCATGTTGACTCCTGATGCGTGCGTTTGAGCCACTCAGAAAAAAATAAATAAAACCAACCTAATCGATTCCCCCTCCTTTATTTACCCAAACATTACTTTAGTTAATTGAGGTTTGCAGAAATGTTTTCCTGCTCAGGCAAGGTTTCAAATTTTAAGATTTTGTTTATTTTGTCACAAACAAATCAAACGTGGTAACATCTGCAATATTGCTTAAACTGAAAACAAAAAACTAATTATTTTATATTTATCTTGATTTAAGGTCCTACTTCGGCTTTTCAATCAAGCTTAAGTGATTGAAGCAACCTAATTTGTGACTTCCTTCCACTCATTTGGCCTCACATATGTCTCTAGAAAAGTTTAAGATCCATCAACTGACTAAACGTTTTGTGGCTGCAGAAACAGTCCCAGATCAACAGGCTTCCACCAATGTGCTTTACAGCTGCTGTAGGTTTGAGTTTATGTTTTATTTTTGTTTTTCTACTTATCTACACCTCTGTCTAAAGGACATAGTTCAAGAAGTCTCTTGGTTTATTCACATGGAGCTCTGCTAAGGCTCACTGCCATGTTCTTTTTAGAGATAAGCTAAAAAAAAAAAAAGCCACAGTGCTGCTTTAGTGGAAGTCAACTTCCTTGTTGTGTGAGCTAGACCTGTGTCTTCCTAAATGTGCAAATGTATGTTTACATTCCTGCCACCATGTGAGTAAATGCGACCATAATGAATGTATTTTTAGGAACAGCAGGCTGAATCAGCATCAGATGGCTGATGATGAAACGGGTGTTCCTCTCCAGGCAAGACAGACACAATGGTAGGACATTGGAGGATGGACAATGATGGTGGATTGTGTCCAGATGGTTATCTAGTGCAGGAGTCTTCAACGTTTTCCAGGCCAAGGACCCCCAAACTGATGGCTAGATGGAGCGGGGAGCCCCTAATTATATATATTGTATGAAATTGTGTTCTATCAAACTGGTCCTATAGTCACTCTATTACAGATGGAGTCATGTAACAAAGTAATTTCTCCCTGGGATTATTAAAGTATTTCTGATTCTGATTCCTGGTTGATGGGACAGGTGTTGTTAATGAAACCGTTCCCAGCTTGAAAGAGCTCCTGTTTGTCGCTGAATGTATGCATTGATGACTGAAAGACATCTTCTGCCTCCATTTATCTGTTTACTTCATTGTGTTGAATTCATGTTAAAGACATTTCAATTAGTGGAAAAAATTGCAAGGGAAGAATATAAAAACAAAGTCTAATCAACCTAAACTTTTGTGACCCCCATGCAGTACCTCCTGGACCCTGTAGGGGTCATGGACCTCCTGTTGAAGACCTCTGATCTAGTGGAATAGTGAGGAGATTTAAAGTTGGCATTCTGAGGTTCATCTTCTGGTTCCCTAGAAGATGAACAACAGAAAGCAAAACAGGTAACATGAAAATTCGGTTCAATTTAGTTTTTAATTTATAATTTAGTTTTATTCATAACTCACAACAAATCTCATCTCAAGTTACTTTACTCAGACTATTTAATTAGATCATGTAGTCAGATTGTTAAAAAGTTTTCTATCTAAGGAAAATCTGCTGACAGAAGACATTCACTACCATTGCATCATTGACTCTCTGCAATCCCTCACACCGAGCATGCATGCAGTGACAGTGGGGAGGAAAACTCCATTTTAACAGAAAAAAAAACTCCAGCAGGACTAGGCTCATTGTGAGCAGCCATCTGCCGAGGCCGACTGGGGTTCAAGGAGACAGAAGCACATATACAGCATAAACATGATAGCACTGAAAGATAAAAGAAAAGCTAACATGAACTAGCTCAACAGGTGACCCTGGCAGAACCAGGCCAGATCTAGCTACTATGACAACAAAGAGCAGAGAGAAGATGAGGATTAATGTTTAACAAACAAATGTTCCTCAACTGGGAAATACAGATAGAATGAGGCAAAATGATTTAAAGCTGCCCCTATGTCCTCCAGCAGTCTTAGTCTATAGCAGCATAACTTTGGAGATAGCTTTAGGACAACTGAGCCACTCTAACTATACGTTTTATCAAAAAGGAACGTTTTAGACTGGTGTTGCACCAATACTGATACCAGTATCATAACAATCTGGCATCTGCCTCAGTTTGTTCAACTTCTCCTGATTGGGCCTTAACGAGCTCCAGTTTCCCATCACACTCCATAATGAGAACAGCCCATACTGACTTAAAACTGCACTGTGTATTTGGTATTGGTGTGGTTCTTCAGAGATGTGACCAACTTAGTAAGCAGAATAGACCTGAATAAAACTGTAAATCTGTCTTTTGTATTCAAAGTTAGTATTCATCTAAAACCAGTGTCAGCCATTCAACTGTGATCAAAGCATATTTGGTACAAGCAATGAAACTTATTTTAGCTCACTGTTAATTTCAGAGTTGGGTTGTTGTTGTTTTTTTTTTTAATTATCATTATTGTCATTATTATTAATGTCATTATCATTATTATAATATCATTATCCTGTCTGTCAAATAAGAGAGTTTGGAAACATGGACAGCGTATTTATGGTCATGGCACTGCATATTAATCAGATTACAGTCTAGACTTTGACTAGACCAGTCTAAAATCTTACTGTTGTTTTTTTTTTTTTTTATCCATTCAGCAGTGGACTTCATAAAGAACTTAGAATCTGGGCCTGCCAGATAACCCAAGTATTTTCTAGAATTACTCTGAAAAGCTGCTCTGGATTTTTGGGGGGAACCTGTTTTTATAAAGTTCTATTTTAGTCTTATCAGTTCACATGAGATTTTCCTGCATGTCAGATTCTCAGGTTCTATAGAAGTGGTTCCTGCTTTTTTATAAATAATTATTTAAAATGGGTGGTTGGTTCATTTGTTTTTTTAATGCTGAAAATCAGGAATATAGTGTGACAAAAAAAAGTAAAAACTGATTAAATCCATAACCCTATTAAAGGAAATGGACAACGGCTGCTGGTAATACTGAAGGCTTTTTATGCCTGAGTGATTCATTTGTTAAAATTTCACAATCTAGATCTGCATTACAGCATGGATTTAAGACTGATGTTCTTTGCAAACTGAGCCAAAACAAAATTAGAAAGACAACAAAACTGGAAAACTTTGATTCAGACCTCTTTAAATGACAACACAGCCTGAAAAAAATAAAAACAAAAATCAGCGTTTTGCTTGTTCTCTATTGTGAAATAAAATACTCGCAGCTTCTTTCAGTCTGAATAAAAGTAAAATTAAAGAAATTAAAGTTTTATTTTTTTTTATTTTTATCATTACATTGCTGTTACCAGGATGAGTCTAAAGTCTGGCTATTTAAAAAGGAACTATGAATAAATAAGCTTCCTGTATTTTCATGTTTAGAGATTTGTTAGATAAAATGTATAAATCTTTGAGCTGATGCTGACTCCTTCCAGGTATGCATGGGCCTCCAAATTACTGAGGCCAGAAGGCAGAGAGGACTTTCCTCCACATTCAGCTCCTGGAACTGAGGAACCTCTGTGTGGATAGGACCTCAGGAAACCAGTCAGTGATGCTACAGCGCCATCCACAGGCCATGGGTGTAACAAGAGAAGGGTTTTCCTTTGACAGCCTTAAAGGTTGGGAAATATTAGAAAAGTTTTTTCTCTCGACTCCAAACCATGCAGACACCACCTTTAGAAGGAACCTGCAGTGATCTATGTCCATATAACTATAGTGATCTTGAAGGGGGTTGGGTTAAAAGGGGGGGGGGGGTCCCTTGCCAGCTCATGCATGCACAAGGCTCTCTTTACTCCAAAGCCACCTCCTTCAGAGCCATGTGTCACAGTCGAGAAGTTAAAGGCAAGGAATTATTAAGGCAAGTGAGTTTATTGGAGAAGATGTGGACATTTTTTCCAGACAAAGCATAAACGTAACAGCTATGATGTCAGAATGCATTACATGCTGAGCTGTTTGTGAACTTTAAAATACTGTGTGTCTGACACCACCCATGCATCGTTGCACATATAAAGGAATATATTTCTCTTGTAAACTTTGATAGAAAAAATGACATGTTTTGGAAAGTATGTGATAACTAACTGCTTCAATGTTTTTCTTTGCATTAATCCATGCTATATGATGGCATGAAAATTGTTTACTTCCTTGGATTAAGGAAATATTCTTCTAATCTGTCAGATAAGAATCCCATTTGAATTTATCTTCTGAATGTTTGTTTTTTAAAAACAAGTTAGGAGGGAGGAAACATTGAATTATGGGGAATGAACTACTTTTAATATACAGAATAATATTTGTGTAAAACACTAGGTTTACTTTTAAATTAATATCAGATATAGTGTTTGAGGAGCATTAATTCAAAACTGAATCACACCGTATAAATGAAATGAATTTACATGGAGGTGAAAGGCATAAAAAAAACCTGAATGTTGGAACTGGAACTATACAGTCAGATGTTTACATCACTTTTTTCATCACAATTTTTTTTTATCACTGCTGCTTACCTTTATCAAGTCTAGAGAGCTGTCTAAAACTATTGGAAAATATCTTCACTTTCACTGAAAAATGTGCAGTAATGACAAAAAGCTGGTTAAAAGAGTACGAAGGACCACTGCATGACTGTGAAAAGTTTTTTTTTATTATTACATCATTAGAGGCTCAAGCATCAATAGTCTGGCAATAGCAAACACTATAAAGATATAAGTAAATGGTTTAAAGAAGAAAAAAGCAAATGAAGAGGAAACAAAGAAAAAACAAAGAAGTACCTGAAAATAACCATAATCAGA